GTGCAGGGTGGAGAGGTGGAGAGGAGCTTGCGAACAACATCGAGTTCTTTCCGGGTACTCTGCAAAGCTGACGGAGCGGGAGTATCTCCCCCATTGGACAGACAGGGGAAGAGAGGCTCCGAGAGCCCATCTTGCCCGGGGTCAGAGTAGGTCCGGAGCGGAGCGGGGTGGGAACCCAAGACCCCCCCGCCCGGTGCTGCTAAGAGAGTTTCCAGCATTGCCAGGACGTCTCCCATGCCTGGGAGGGCGGCCCTTCTGCTTCTGGAACCGAGCCATCCACACTGGCTAGTAGCTAATAGGATCTGCCCAACTTCTCTGCAAGGTCAATGGGGGTCAGGCGCTCTGTCTTCGTGGGCACAGAAGGTGGTATTGAGGCTCAGAGAAGCTAGACAACTTACCCAAAGCCTCTAAGCAAGAAAGCAGAGGGGCGGGTCCTCCAGCTCTGGGTTTTCAGCCCTCTGTCCCTGACAGGGGCTCTGTCCCCGTTTGACGGCCTCCCTTTCATAGTGTCTGCAAAGCAGGCTCAGGCTCTGAGGACTCCGCTGCCCAGCTCCTCCAGAGTGGCCAGACCCCAGCGAGTGCACAGGACCGACCCTCTGCCACCCCTTGTCACCATGGGCCTTCTCGGTGGACCTTGGGAAACCCTGGGCTCCTGACCCCCACCTTGAGTGCTCGTTTCCGGGCACAGGGAACCCGGAGAACCAGCAGAGTTTGGTGCTTCCTGACAAGGGCTGAGCTTTCAAGGTGTGCCTATGAGCGCTTTGCCGCCAGCAAAGGAGGGGGGTGGCAGGAGCACCCGTGTGCTGAGCAGTCCAGAACCTCCCCCTGGGTGAGGAAGCTCCGGCCAGCTTACCTCAAGGGGCCTATTGACCCCCTGTGTGTATGGCCCTTGTCCGGGGAGAGGGGCTGGACCTCCTGCTCTTGAGGCCTTGCAGGCAAGGACCCCCTTGCTTCTGGAGGGTTCCCTGGAGACCCAGAGCCCAACCCTTGGAGGGGCCTCTGTCTCTGAGGCTCGTTAACATTCATTCCGTCCTCATAGCCCCTCCCGTGGGAACAGTGGTCACGCGCTCTGGAGCCCAGACCTGGTGATGACCACTCCCGTCCCCAGCCCGTTCCACACGCAGCGCCCCCACCTCTCGCATCCCCAAGGTTCCTGACTTCCTTCACGTCTTTCCACCATGGCTAGCGCCCCCAATTAGAAGTCTCTTCCTCCCGCTTGGCCGGTGCCACTTCTGGGCACAGAGCATGGACGTCTGGACCCTGGAGGGTGTCTCCCTCCTCGCCTCCTGGCTGGGGCGTTCTGAGGCCGGGACTGGGTCCCTTCTTCCCAGGATCCCCCGCTCCTTGGATGGACAGGGCCCAGGGCTGAGTGGGTGCCAGCAAATGTCTGACTAATTGAATCTGCTTCCCGTGAATCGCAGTGAATATGCACAGGGCTTTGGGGAAGCTGTAGCCCAGAGACGGGCGGGGGCCTGCCAAGGTCACACAGCTAGAGCTCTCCCCATCCTTGCCTCTTATCGACCCCCTGGGGGAGACAGGAAAGGGTTCTTAAGGACGGAAGCACCCTCCCCCTATTCCACAGCAGCCCCTGGCTCACGCCCCTGGGGGGCAGCTCCCTTTTCGGTTGAGCCCCTCTCGGCCACACAGGGCAGTACCAGCTCCAACGACTCACACCCCAGCCAGTGCTCATTCCAGACCCTTCCTTCCATTTCCCAGATGAGGAGACTGAGGCTCAGAGGACGGAGCCGCTTGCCCAGGTCCACGGGGCAGAGCCCAGCCCAGAGCGCAGACACGGGCCCGCCTGCTGGCTCACCTGGCTGCCGAGCTGTCCTGGGGGGCCTCTGCGCTGTCCAGCATGCTGGGGTCCTCGGGGGCAGCCGCGTCCAGCTACAGAGCTGCGTGGCATCTGCTGCGGGCACCTGCGCAAGAGCTTGGTGCCCCACTGGGCCAGAGGCTGGCCTTGAGTGGGCAGTGGGGGCGGGCCCCGGGCCGAGGGGCGGCGACTGGAGCAGCCCAAAGAGGCCCATTTCCTCTCTATTTTTAGACGCTCAAAACGCTCCTCAGGGGTGAAGTTGCTCAGGATGAAAACTTTCCTTTTCTTCGTGGTTTTGTTTCACGGGAGGCGAGGAGAATTTCAATGAAGCCAGTGTTCTTTTTGATGCAAATCCGCCCCGGCTCTCCCAGGAAGCCTGGCCAATGGGCTCCGGGCTTCTGGGCCCCCTGAGACCGTCCTCACCGGCCTGACAGGCCACACTAGGGCAGAAGGGGATCTCAGCCCCAGTGTGCACCCGGACCCTGCCGAGACTGCTGCCCCGAGTGCTCACACTCTGCAGCCTTGCCTCACCGTCTGGCCCCGCCCGGGACACAGGACAGCTGAGGAGGGGCCCTGACTCCCACCCTCCAGGAGCCCCGTCTGGGGGAAGCAGAGACATTCCCACCCCGAGGACTATCCTGTCATTGTCACAGGCCTCTGGCCCGAAGCAGACATGATAGAGGGACCGAGGACCGTGACCGTTCCAGGGCGCCGAGAGACAAGCATGGCTCTGCCCCTTCGGCAGAAGGCAGAAGAGTGCCGATGGGCTTGCGTGGCCATAGACAGCTAGACGCGGGGCAGGGAGAACAGAGGGCTTCCTCTGAACCCCAGGAATCCCCCCTTACACTGGGTAGTGGTTCCCGAAGGAGGCTGGGACAAAGCACCACAGGATGGGGGCCTTAAAGCACACAGGTTATTGTCTCGCAGGTCAGACTGGTGACCTGAGGGCCTCAGCAGGGCCGTCCCCTCCAGGACTCTAGGAGAGCCTCTTTCCTCACCTCTGCCAGCTTCTGGCGGCGGCTTGTAGCCCTCGACGGCCCTGGCTTGGAGGTGCTGCACCCCAATCTGTGCCTACATCCCTCATCCGCTCTTCTTGCTGCGAGGTCAGCAGTCACTGGACCAGGGCCCACCGAATCCCATACGACGTCATCCTAATGGCTCCCATCTGCAAAGACCCTACTTCCAAGCAAGGTCACATTCCGAGGCTCTGAGTGGGCATGAATTCTGGGGACATAAGTCAACCCAGTGCAAACTCTATACAGGACGTGTTGGTGGGGATTCCTGTGAGGTGTCCCCAGAAAGGGGCAGAGGGTTCAGCTGGGTCGCCGGGAATGCTGTCCTGACGGGTGGTGGCAGGGGGCTGAGAAGGAGCTTGGCTGTCTGCCGGAAAAGTCTGGCACCGGCCTCAGGCCTCGGGATGCTGCCTCCCAGTGCTGTTGAAGGTACACAGGACAGAGGGCCCAGAGTCTGGCTTTGAGGCTTGAACCTTCACCCATGCCCCCTCCCCTGGGACCTTGCGTGGGTCCCTGCCCCTCTCTGGGCCTCAGTTTGTTTGAATCATGTGGGTAAAGGCCTGAGACTGGGAACGTGTGGGGGAAGGGGGGGGCATGTTCCTGAATCGGGTGCGCCAGCAGGACTGCGTCTTATTGATAAGTCCCAGAGCCCCCAGCCACGGGGCGACTGAGTCAGAGAAGAAAGATGTCCAATTCTTGGCCAAGAAGAAGGCCTGGAAGGGTTTGGAAGGAGGTGTGAACAGGCCTAGCAAGTGCACCCTTCTCCTCCCCCTCCCCCAGATTCTTGGGGGTCCTAGGAAGGACGGTGGCCCTGGGGAGCGGTGTGGGCAGGGGCCTCCTTGGGCCATTTGCCACAGTGGAGACGACAAGGCCCCTGAGTGCCACTGAGGAGATGGTGCCAGGGCACCAGGGAAGGGAGGGCCTGGGCAGCCCCCTCCTCAGAGCCGGCGACGGACCAGGGGCCCACCTGGGGAGAGGGCAGCGTTGGGGGCCGGCAAGAGAGGCTGCTGGCCACTCCCCTGGGCACCAGGACCAAAGGCACATGCTGTGCAGAGGGTGGGTGCCGGGCTTGGTGCGGAAGGGAAGGACAGCGAGCAGCCGAGTCTGGTTGAGCCGTGTGGACAGTCAACCCATTCCCCGGGGAAAGTAACTGTGACCACATGCTGGTCAAGCTGCCTCTGCCCCCCGGATTCCGTCTGTGCCGGCTCTGCCCCCGCAGCTGAGCTGTGTGGACGTCACCGGGGTAGAGTTAGGCCAACGCAGGGGGCACAGGGTGGAGGGAGAGGCTGGGGGCTGGTTCCTCGTGCCCCTCGGCTGCCTGCAGGGTCAGCAGCAGCTTCCTTGCTCCTGTATGAGGCCCCAAGAGGCCCTCGGCAGGGTAGGGCCACCCGTCCTGGCTCCTCAGCCATGGGAGGGGTCTGGCCCCCCACGGCCCCCCTGTAGTGGGATGAACCTCGCGGTTGTTTGCAGCCTGGACCATCAGCACTTCACCCCAGGACAAGTTCCCACAGTGGAGCTGCTGGGATGTGACTCAGTTTAAAGTTAGAAATGACAGTTTTTGTGACATGGATAGATTGAACACTCTGCCATTAGTAGGAAGAAGGGGAGAGGTTTAAAATTTTTTCCGTCAGGTTACAGAGAAAGAAAGCTGCAGTTTTGCCCGCCTGAGTCTGTCGACTGGGAAGCCCCATCCACATTGTGCACCAGCCGGAGGGCCCCCCTCTCTGCTCGGTACTTGGGGTGCAGGGTGGGGTGGGGAGGGCTTGCTGACTGGAAATAGGGTGTCTCCATGCTCCGGGCCCCGTGGTAAGATGGGGTTGTGGATGGCACAGGTGTTCTTAGCCAGGAGTGTGGGAAGTCCCTGAAATCATAGGCTCTGTGTGTGTGTGTGTGTGTGTGTGTGTCCCCATTTGTCCCCGTCTCTCTAGGGAGAGGGCTCTAGCCCTTAGCAGACCCTCGATATGATGGGACAGTGAGCAACCGTAGCAGGAGGAAAGCCCCGAGCTTTGGGGTTACACAGACCTGGGTTCAGCTCCCCGTCCTTGTGCTCAGGAGCTGAGCAACCTTGGGGAAGGGACTCCAGCGCAGTGACCGTGAGCTTGGCCGCAGTGCGGTGGGATAGTAACTGGGACTTCTGCGAGTCGTGGGTGACGAGTGAACAAGGTGCCCCGCACGGAGGCGGTGGCTGATGGGGCTTCCTCGAGGCTGCACTGGCAGGGATAGCCTGATCTCTGCCTCCTTCCCTGCACTGGAGCCCGAGGGGATGACGGTCCCCCCACCGGTCCCCACCAGGCTGACCTGGAACAGGACGATGCGAATGTGCACGCAGAGCCCATTTCCCTCTCCTGGAAATTAGATTAGGAGGCTCGGGAAAGAAGAGGGAAGGGGCAATGAGGGGGCGGGGCTGCGGGGGCGGGGCTGAAGGACCGAGGGGGCGGGGCTGCGGGGATCGGGGCAGGGCTGCGGGAAGGAGGAGGCCTGGAAGGGACCCAGAAGACTGGGTGTGATGAGGGTGGAGCCCCTGCCCCCATCAGATGTGAACGACTGGCCTTCCCAGGCCTGGACCTGGGGGAGCAGAGTGCAGTCTTGGACCCCCGCGCAGGGATGAGGCCACACAGGCCCCGTTACAGCTGCAGTCTGAGAGCACATTCCTCCTCCGTGCCATCCCAAACTCCCCTTGTCAGAATAGAAGCCTCGGTCCTTACCCTGGTCCACTAGGCCCTCTGTGATCTGGGCCCCGCTCCCCGACAGCACCAAGGAACGACTTGCAAAGACAAATCCTGGCACAAATGTGAATGTGTCAACATCGTCAACAGTTGGGAGAAAATCGAGTCTACGTGTCCCTACGTGTCCTGGCGGAGCCGGGATGGGGGCTCTGCCATGACTACATGCAGGGGCAGCTCCCCAGCCTGAAGGACCGAGAGTTTTCCAGCTCATCCCAGACGGTCACAGTCTCTGCCGGGTCTGCACACCTCTGGCCTTGTACACCTTACATGTTTTTCTTTACTTTGACCCACTTCTAAAATCTAGAAATGGATTCTGGTTTCATCCAAAGCCATTCCATCTGTGAAGTCACCAACTGCCTGGTTTGCTCCACACACAGGTTTCCCAAAGTGCGCTGAAATTGATGTGAAACTATCAAAAACGTTTGTCCCTTCCACCTACACTATTTGATCACAGGACACTTTTGGAATCTGCTATAGAAAAAGCTGGGGAAATTTAGTTTTATTTTCACTGGAGGAGGTAAATGTTTTCCATCTGAACCATGCCAGTGTCAGGGAATGGCTGTCAGAAGCATCACGTGGGTAAATGGTTCAGACCCGTAGCGCACACCGAGGACTTTCGGGTTCTGTGAACGTGGCTGGAAACCGAGGTGGAGGCATAAGCATGCCGTTCAAAACTGTAGGAGCAGATAATAGAGCCAAAACTCGGAGCACAATGACCAAGCATTGGCAGGAGGCTGGGGGGGGGGGGGGTGGGAGCGACACCTAATGAGCTAAGTCATTGTACACAGGTGTCCTCCACGGCTGATAAACCGAGACCGCAGGAGATGAGCATATGCTTTAAACCTGCAGAACCCTCTCAAGAAACAGGTGTTATGAATAGAAATGGTTTAAAAAAACAAAACAACCCACAGAAGCATCTGCAGCTCGGGCAGGCGGAGCATCAACTCCTCTGGGCTATTTTTCTAATACCATGCATATGTATCACTAGGGCACAATTTTTTATTTTGTTTTTTAAATTTTGAAACGCTGTGCTCCGGGGCTCTGGCTTAGGCTGCTTGGAACTGCAGCATCTCCCATGTGCCGGATCTCCAAGAACCGCCTCCGCCCCAGAAACCACCTTCCTCCCCCCGAGCCCAGCTTCCAGGCCCCTGTGCACCCGAGGGCTCCATGGCCAGGGCTGCGTCTATGTCCTATGGACAGGTGGGGTTTGGGTCCCCCGCTTCCAGCTGAGTTTCCTCCAGCTCTGGACAGAACCCCAGGAGGCGTTCCTGAGGCTCAGACTCCTCTCCCAGGGCCTCAGGGTCTCACAGCCTTACCACCAGGACAGAGCTTTCCCGAAGCAGGGGCCAAAGAATGTGGTGTGTTGGGGTTCTGACGAGTGGGCCTAGGGCCAGGAGGGGGCAACGGGGCTACCTGGGAACAAGCCCTCTGAGGGAGGAGATTGGGGCAGACGAAGAGGAGGTGGGCAACCCCAGAAGCATGTCTGCCAAAGAGGCACCTTCTTCCCTCACCTGGAAGGCCCAGACCGAGGGCCACAGAGCCAGTGTTCTCGGGGCAGAGGCTGAGCACTGGTGTAAGGTTAGAACGCAGCCCAGGACAAGTCACCCCCCTCCGGGTCTGTTTCTTCATCTATAAAATGGGGACACTTGGTTGCCAGGGACAGAAACCCTAACCAAAACCAGCTTAGGGAACAAGGACGACAAAATGAGGCGCTCCAAGAAGGCAGGGCTAACAAGTACACATGGGCGGTGGGTGGGGCTGGGATGCGGGCTGGGCTGGGCCAGTCTGCCCGCCCCCACCCCCCCAGGCCTCACGCCTCCCATCAGTCCCTGTCTTCCCAGACACTGTCTCTGCACCAGCTCCCTCGTGTGGAGACAGAGGAGACCGGGAGGAGCCTGGGTGTCCCATAGGATGTGACAAAGAGCTGTTTTTGTGAGCCGTGGTGGGGCCGCTCACCACCTTGTATTTGCTTCCACCCGTTTCTGCCTCACTTCCTCCCCGCCCCACACATCAGTGCCCTAGGAATACAGTCCCAACAGTCTTAGGGCAGAAGCTTTGCCTTCACTCTGTTTTCTGGGCAACCCGGGATAAAACAGCGGATTGCAAGCTGTGTGACCTCGGGTAGATCATTTAACCCCTCTGTGCTTCAATTTTCTCAGCTGAAAAAATGAGTCATAATAATTCCTACCTGGTGGGTTACAGTGAGTTAGATGTACAGAAAGCACCTGGAGCTGTGGGAGCTTTCAGTAAGAGTTAATGTTTGTTATTTGTATTACCCTGCGCCCCGAGAAAGCTCCAAATCGGCACGGAGGCAGGTCCTCATGGACGAATGGAGTGGGGAGCATGCTGGTTGCTGCTCAGGCCCCCAGCCCCGCCCCGGGCTAGCTGCCCTTGGAGCTGGGGGCTGGGCTGAGGTTGGGGAGGGAGCCCCGGACAAGGGTCTGCAGGCCTTGGTGCACGGCCCTGGGTGAGGCCTTCGTGGCCCTAAGCCTCAGTTTCCCCACTTATGAAGTGACATTTACAGGCACACCCGTCTCAGGGCCTCACCTGGGGCAGGGCCAATGGAGCTCCAAGAGCTTCACTGACTGAAAACTCAGTGAGCCTTTGCCCCAGGTGAGGTCTGTGCATGCCAGGCCTGGGGACCACGGCCTCCATGTTACACTCAAGGGAACTAAGGCCCAAAGAGAGGAAGCAGGCTGGCCCGTATGGGGGAAAGGGCTGGTGGCACTGGGCATGCTCCCCCAAGCCTGGCACAGACCCCCAACCTCAGGGAGCCAGGGGCATGGCCTGGGGACCCTCCAGCTTCTGCCTGGGCTGATGTGTCTGTGGCCTCTCCAGCAGATGGCCCGCCAAGGCCTCAGAGTCCTGGCACGTGGCCGGGGCAGCCAGGAGCCAGGGCCGAGGAGGCAGGCTGGGAGAGCCCAGCGCTGGTCAACACAGGGGCTGAACGTCCAAGCATGGAGAGTGTGCTCTCTGCTCAAACCCTGTGTGCTACTTAATGACAAACCTCTAAGGCCAGGCAGCAGGGTGTAACGAAAGAGCATCTTTAGCAGAGTCAGGCTGGGGCCCTCTCAGTTCCTAGCTGACCCTTTCCTGTCCAGCCCCTGATCCTTGATGTCCAGAGGGCACCAGCTGGGAAGAAATGAAGTCCGCTCACACTCAGGTGTGAGTGGCCACATCTTGGCCTAACAGTGTCAGCCGCCTGGCCTTCCTACAACAGGAGAGGGGAGCGAGGCCACCCCGGCGTCCCACGTGCCCAGAGCCATGCCATGCATCCACACCCGAGGCTTGTGTGTGTGTCAGGACAGCCCCGCCAGGAGGCGTTCGTGTGACCCCACTGAGCAGATGGGGACACTCCGAGAGGCTAGGACATGCCGAGGTCCCACAGCGAGCCGTTACAGATTTGAGGCCAGAACGCAGGTGGTCTGAGCTCCCAGACAAGCCTGGCTCTGCAGCGCTGACGTAACACAGGGGGTTTGCCTCTCGGGCTGCGTCCGAGGGAACACGACTGAAGGACGTGTGGAAATTCCTCGTTACAAGTAAGGAGCCAGGGAGATGGCTCTAAGCACTGTCTCCCATGGTGTTAAGTGCAGGAAGCATACTCCGGGCATTAGGGGCCTGGCAGGGAGCTTGCACAATCCCTGGGTTTCAATCGTGGATGCCTCGTGCACCAGTATGCTGGTGCACACACTGTAGGTTCCAAAAATGGTAGAAAGCTCCACCCACAGCAGGAGCTCCTGGTATTATAATGAGCTAGAGGTAACTTCAAGATAACTCAGGGGGCGTTGTGCCTGGCTCAGACCGGCTCCCGGAAGGGGCTGTCAGGTGAGGCACCTACTCATGCTTCTCCTTGGCTGGAGCTGTGGGTTCTGCAAAACCAAACACGTTCCTTCCCTGCCCTTCCCCTCCCCCTTCTGCTGATGGTTTTCAGCCCTCTGATTTGAGCCACCTCCCGATGCACCCGAGCTACCAGCGAGGGCTTGCCAAGCTGTGGATGGGAGCTCAGAGGAGGCTGCCCTGGCCCAGGGGATGAGTCTTGGCTGTGCCCAGGGAGCCCAGTGGATGCACAGCCCCAGCTAAATGCATTGGCGCTCTTTTCCGTAGCATCGCCCAAGAGTCTAAAAAGCCTTTTTTTTTTTCTTTTTCCACATAAGAATCTGATCGTCCCAATAGACTGCTTTTGCCTGGTAGGACTGCAGGAGATCCATTCTTCTTGGAGTTCTCCCTACGGCAGAACCGAGTCAGACCCTGAGGCCCCAAATCCCAAGAAGACTGAGTGGAGCCCCAGGGGGAACTGGGGGCTCCAGGACCAGCTTCCATCAGCCCTTTCTGAGGACCTGGGTCACAGAGGAGCCAAGTCATCGCCAGGGCCCTTCTCAGCATCCATAACTGACCGCCCCCCCTTGGGCTTTGCCCCCGTTCGGAAAGAGCATTCACACCGCAGGGCCATGGGAAGCTGAAGAGGTGATGGAAAGGTACAGAAAGTGGGGAGGGCTGCCTCCCCTCACTCCAGGCTTCCCACACTCACCTCCTCTAGGAGGCCTTCCCAGATACCCCTATACGCTCCAGCTTTTTCTGGTACAATCCATGGAGACTTACTCCCTGCCACCAACAGCTACGGGGCCCCCGCTGCTCAGTCTGGGGCTCGGGACCCTGCTTTTCCTGGTGGCTCCAAGGTCTGACCACTCGGGCACAGGACTGAGGAACACAGGTCTGCTTATGTGGAGTTTCAGCCCTGCTAGGAAGGGGGCCCTGGACACCAGTAACAATGGAAACAGGACCATTGTTTGAATCAAGCTGTTGTTTACCAGGCTCTATGCTAAAGTGTTTTACGCACATTGTCCTACTTAATCCTCATACAACCTTATAAAACTACGTTATTATCATTATTTCATAGATGAGGACCCTGAGACACATGGACGTGAACATGCCTGAGGTCACACAGCACATGATGGAGCCAGAGTTTGAGCCCCAAGGTGCCACCTGTCAGAGCCATCATCCATGTGTGTGGCTCAGGGTTGGCTCCCTGGTGAAGGGGGCTTTTCAGTGGATTGGAGTTTTGGGGGTGAGAATTCCAGGAACAAAGCTGTGGGAGTGGGGAAGTGCCAGGGGCTCCTAGAGAACCGAGGGGTGTATGGGCCAGGAGAGAAGAGCGTGGGTGTGGACCCACCAAGCAGTTCCTGGGTTTGGGGCAGAATTATGGCCCCCGAAGATGTCCATGTCCTAACACAACCTGCGAATTTGTTAATGTCCACGTGAAAAGGGACTTAGCCAATGTGGTCAAGTTAAGGACCTCAGGATGGGAGCTTATCCTGGATTATCTGGGGGTCCCAATGTGGTCACAAGAGAGGCAGGAAGGCCCGCGTGAGGGGAGATGTGGCCACGGACACAGAGTCAGGCAGAGATGGGAAGACAGGGGAGAGACCCTGAACGCAGGCCCCGGAGGGCTTCCGGAACCTGGGAAAGGTAATGCAACGGTCCTCCTCTAGAGCCTTGGGAGGGATGCAGCCCTGCTCACCTTGACTTTAGCCCAGTGAGACCCGTTTTGGATTTCTGGCCTCCAGAGCTGGAAGAGAAGAAACGTGTGCTCCTTAAGTTACTCAGTTTGTGGCTGTTAAAGCAGCCAGGGGGACAGCCACGGGGCTGCGGACCACGCACAGCGAGGGGCACCTGGGCTTTCAGCAACAGCGTCCCGTTTGCGTTTTAGAAAGCTAAATTCGATCCCACAAATCCTTACAGCGTACCTTCCGTGTAGCGGGCAGTGCGCGGGGCCTGGGGGACACAGGGGCAAGGGGGACATGGCAGCCCGAGCCCGCTGCAGAGGCATGGAGGGCGCTCCAGCCCCTCGGGAGGGGCCGTGCAGGGGGAGCAGGTTATCACCAACTGGCAGCCTGAACAGAACCCTTCCAACCTGCAGATGTGGGGCCTTTGTTTATCTGGAAGGGGGTTATCTGAACGGTTCTTCGGGGAGCACTTCTCTGCAGACGGGCGGAGCCCGCGGGCAGCGTTCTGCTGGAGCGCGTCCGCGCCGCCGCGGCCCCGTGCCGGTTCCCCGCGCCCCCACAGGGGCTGTCTCAGAGCACCAAGCTGGGGTCTCCACGGGGGGAGGTGGGGTGGGGGGCGAGAAAGCGCCACCCCGACCCACGCAGCCATCCCACTCCTAGGGGTGGACCCTACAGACGTGAACACACGTGCGCCCGCAGACACGCACGGGCGTGCCCGTGGCCACACTAGCCCCAAACTGGGAACACCCCAAATGCCCATGGATAGCAGAATGGGTGACATGCTTACACCGGGGGGCACCAAGCAGCAGTGAGAATGTGAGTTACTGTCAGACCAGGAACTGGTAGTTCTCACCAAGCTCACACGGAGCAAAAGCTGCGAGAGACAAAAGAACACGTATTACAGGACTCAGTGTTCACAAACAGGAACCGCGACTCTGCGCTTAAGAAGTCAGGGCTGTGCCCGGGCGGGGGCGGGCTGTGGGGCACGCGGAGCTGGGGGCCGGCTGAGGGGGCGGGGTGCTGGGGGCCCGCTGGGGTGCGTAATGCTGGGGGGCGGGCTGGGGGGCTCATGGGGGCTGCTCCAACTCTGGGCTAGGGTTACATGGGAGTGTTCCCTTTGTGATAATTCATTGAGCTGCCTACTTAGGATTAGTATATTTTTGGTGGGGACGTTACATTGCAATAAGAAGGAGCCTACACTGGTCATGAGCACTGGGTGAAACTAATAGAACTGTATGTTAACTGTCCTGGAATTTAAAATAAAACAAAAGAAATTAACTGAGCATATGACAGTGATTAGGGTGTTTTGTTGGCTGTATGATACAGAGCTCATTGTCTGGGAGCGAGGAGGCTCGGGTTCTAACGTTAAGCTGTCTGGACTAAGATGCTGTCTGGACCCTGGGCAAGCTGGGGCCCATTTTAGGGTCTTAATTTCCTCATTCAAAAATTGGGAGGGTGTGTAGGTGGATTATATGATTTTTGCAGAAACTGAGCAAAATGTTTGCGCTGTAGCTAACCCGCCTCCGTATAAACAACAAGAAAGAGGCCAAGACTTTGTCAGAGCTGGAGATGTTTTCCTGTGTCCTTGTGCTGGTCACGTGAGGGTTTGGCTGCACCCTAACAGCCCAGCTCTCTGACCTCAGCTGCAGAGGCAGGTGTGTGTGGTGGACTGTGTGGTGGATTGGAAAGAACGCAGTAGGCGTTGGGATCCTTCAGACAGGGCTGGGGTTCCGGCAGTGTCCCCGTCTTCGCAGTGCGTGACCTGGGGTAAGCTGTGGGTCTGTCTCCTCACTGGTGAAATGAGGGTGGTCATGCCCACGCTGCTGGGCAGGTGTGCCTTCCCTCCAGCCAGTGAGCTAGGTCTCCTGCTGGGACCAGTCCAAAGATGGCATCTGATGCTCCTGACAGTGTATGTTGATCCAAACTAAGCAAAGACGTGGAGCCCTCCCAGTGCAGACACCATGCGTGAGGGCCTCCCCTTGCCAGCCCTGGGACGATCAGAGAATTGTGAGGAGTATGTGCTGGTGTTCTGGTCTCACTCCCCGGGCGACCCTCCTAGGGCCTTGTGGACGTGCTGACCCCAGGGCCAGAGATGCCTCACTGAACGGCAGTCCAGCCTCTCTTACCGTGCTCAGCTTGGGGTCCCATTCTGTGAGGCAAGCAGGACTCCAGGGAGGGGGTCTGACACGGGAGGGAGAGCTGTGGAGACTGGGCTGGGCTGGGTGCTGTAGCTCAGAGAAGATTTGAGGGGCCCCAAGTCACCACTTCTGCAAGTCCAGTGGCCTTCCAGGTGGAGACTGGTATTGCTCCAGCCCTGTCTCGGAGAATCCAAACCTGCTTATTTTTAATGACTTTTTCCTAAGTATATTTTATATACATGCTCATGCAAAAAAAAAGAAAAAAGATGAGACAGAAAAGCAGAATAAGAAAATAAAAATCACCCACAATTTCATCATCTGGATATAGTGGTTGTTGGCATTTTTGTGTAAGCCTTTCAGATTTAGATCCCTAGTGACCAAATAGATTTTGTCGGTCAGAGTTTTTGGTGGCAAGCAACAGAAACTGGCTCCGGCTAGCTATATGAATTAAGGTATACTTAGCTGACGCATTGGGAAAATCCCAAAACTACAATAGTTCTACACAGCACGGATTTATTTCTTGCTCCCATAAAGCCGCGGACAGTTGGTGGGTGTAGGGCGTGGGGGCCTCTCTGCTTCACACAGCCACCCAGACACGCAGGCTGAAGGCGGCCCTGCCGTTCAACACACGGCTTCCCGGGTCACCTGCCACCGTGAGGCCACAGGCAGAGGAAGAGACAGTGCAGGAGGGTTCCCGGGGCGTGGCGTCCAACCATCCTTTTGCTTTCTATTAGCCGGATTCAGACCCGGGGCCGCCTAACAGAAGGCCGTGGGAGGACCTGCAGAACTGACCGGAGGCCGGGGCACCAACCTTGCAGGCTGCGTCCCTCTAGGTGCTCCAGAGGGCCGGAAGGGGGAAGTAACAAACAGGCCAAGCACCTGGTAGGCCGGCCGGCCCCCCCACAGCTGCCAGGCGTCCTTCCTCGCCCTGGGTCACTCTTGTGGGACCCAGTGTCTTAGAAGGGAGCATCCGTGGCCTAGCCCAAACCGTGCCCTCATCCCTGGCCCCCATTGAGGGGAGGCAGGCTCTGCGGGGGTTGCTCGGCCCCTCCCCAGGGAGAGACCACCCTCTGGAGGGCCCCTGGGACAGGAGACTGGTGCTGGGCAGTCACAGAACCGTGTTCCGTATGATGCACTTCACTGTGCTGGGTTGCCGGGCAGGGCCCACTTCTCGGGCCTCCCCCCCACCGGCCCGGAGCCCACAGAGACCACAGGGCCTCAAAGCAACGGGAGGAAGTCAGAGACAATGTGGTCAACGGAATTGCCCGGCAGCTTCATGGAGAGTAGCCGAGTGGAGTCCAAGGTGGCTCAACGCAGGCCGTGTCTCACCACGGAAATCCCCACGGTTTCCGTGGTAAGCCCCCAAACACAAGGACAACTTCCCCAGTCCTCCCCTGTCGCCAAAACCACCCCAGCCCACAAAAAGCAGCGAGAGTGCCTTCCCAGAGGCCATGGAGAATCTGTGGCCTCCCCTGAGTATTCTTGGTGTCCGCTTGCAGACCTGCCCTGAGCGCACACACAAACACACGTGCACACACTCACACGTGCGTGCGTTTGGCCGGCGGGAGGCCAGTGCGTGGAGGTGAGGAGACAGCGCAGCCCGCCTGGGCTGGACTTTCTTCCTGTGGCCGGCTTCTTTCCTCCTCCCCTTTGCCTCCAGGCTCCTTCCTGGAGCAGACACCCCTCCTCCGTGTTCCCCATTTAGCCGCCCTCTGTTAAGACCCTGCCCTTCGAATCGTAATCTCCTCCCTAAACTGCTTTTCAGTGTGTTTTTCCAGGGACAGTTCCCATTCTAAGAGCAACGCACAGCTGGCTACTCAGGTGCACATTTCAAGTGCTCCTTCACCATCACCCTAACCGAAGTGCGGTGTCTCTGCTTCGGAGTGGACTCCCGGCTTGTCCTCGGGCCTCCCACTGGCCACCAGCACTGCACCATCCTGACAGCGCACGTTACGGTTCTGGCAGGACCCGGAGCCAAGCAGGGCGAGCTGGGCCCAGACCATGGGGCAGCTTCGATGCCAGAGCTCGGATCTGATTCTCCTACGCAAGGGCCCACCCAAGGAGCCAGAGCCGGGGTCCTGCAACTTGGACAGCACTGGGCTTCTGGCTGCTGCGTGAGTAGCTGGAGGGCGGTGAGGGTCTGAGCGATGTTGCACAGCCGTCGGTCATGGGGAGGGCAGCAGAGGAAGAGCTGAGCCTGATGGTTGAAAGGGGAAGCCGAGTGCTCTCCCCTGGTCGGGAACTGTCATTTGCTTGGAACCATTACTGCTGGGACGGGACCAGCCGAGGCCACGGAAAGATCCACGGAAACTATTAAATATGTGTAGCATTACCCAGACAGGCTACCCGACAACGGTGGTCTCAGTAAGGCGAGTGTCTCAGCTCGCTTCCACTGGAGAAGGGAGGAGATTTCGACCTTCCATCCTGTGGGCGTTTTGTATTTCCAAATGCGCTGCTTCCAGCAGACGCGTTGACGGGCTATTTGCATCAAGTGACAATGGCCCACGTTGACCACGTGCTGTGCCGAGTAGAGCCCTAAGGGTTTGCAGTGTGTGACGGACACACACATATATGCACGTGTGCACATGATCACATTTATGATCTTAGATACTCCCCGCAACCCTATGAGGTCAGTACTATTACGGGTGAGAAGCTGACGCAGTGAAGTAGCTTGCCCAAGGTCACCCAGTGAGGAACAGGCAGAGCCAGCATCACATGCAAGGGCCCTGAGAGCTTTATTTCCTGGAAAGAACCAAACGAGGAGATAGTAGAACAAGCCTCGGCCTCCAGGTCCGCTGCAGACCATTACAAGCTGGGGTAGATCATCTTTTAAATGCACACTCTCTCAGGGGGACACTTTGGAGAGTGATGGATGTGTTCACTACCTTGCTTAAGGTGATGGTTTCATGGGTTTATACGTTTATCAAGCCTTATCAAATGGTACACTTTATTTTTTAATTTAAATTTAAATTCAATTAATTAACATATAATGTATTATTGGTTTCAGAGGTAGAGGTCAGTGATTCATCAGTTGCATGTAACACCCAGTGCTCATTCCTTTCGCGCCCTCCTTAATGTCCATCCCCCATTTACCCCATCCCTCCCACCCCCCTCCACTCCAGCAACCCTCAGTGTGTTTCCTGTGATTAAGACTCTCTTATGGTTTGTCTCCTTCTCTGGTTTCATCTTGCTTCATTTTTTCCCTCTCTTCCCCGATGATGCTGTTTTTTTTTTTAAATTCCACGTTATCAGTGAGATCGTATGATAATTGTCTTTCTCTGACTGACTTATTTTGCTTAGCATAATACCCTCTAGTTCTATCCACGTCATTGCAAATGGCAAGATTTCATTTTTTTTTTTTGGTGGCTAGTAATATTCCATTGTATAAATATACCACATCATCTTTATCCATTCATCTGTTAATGGACATCTAGGCTCCTTCCATAGTTTGGCTATTGTGGACATTGCTGCTATAAACATTGGGGTGCACGTGCCCTTCGGATCCCTACATTTGTATCTTTGGTGTAAATACCCAGTAGTGCAATTGCTGGGTCGTAGGGTAGCTCTATTTTCAACTTTTTGAGGAACTGCCATACTGTTTTCCAGAGTGGCTGCACCAGCTTGCATTCCCAAAATGGTACACTTTAAACATGGGCAAAGCATCATATGTCAATGATATCTCAATAAAGCTGTTAAAAAACTGGTATCAAGTATATGATGAGATTAAAATATTTGCAATATTTCTACAGTAACTCTTATTTACCTTATGTGACCCCATTACAATGTTTGAACATGGTGCATAAAATTCATGATTCACTTCTGAATCTAAGCATTGCTTTGAGAATTTTGCCATGCCTCAGAAGAGCAAAGTGTCTGCAAATCAAAGCTGAGAGTTGCAGTGGCTCCAGAAACGTTCTGTGCTGCCGAAAATAGAAGACAAAATATGCAAAAGTGCTGTTTATAACAAGATAGTGATTTTTCTGAAATAATCAGAAAATAAAAGTATGGAATATAAATGTGTAACAATTCTGTAAAGCCTGTTAGGCCTCCCCGCCCACCCCAACTCAACAGGATGCAGGCATGCGTGGGAGATGCTGCCCGTCCAGCTCCAGACACCGGAGTAAAATGAGTCTCACCGTAAAACTAAATGCACCGTAAGGCACATCACTGTTTTGGTTTCCCAGTGCGGACAGTTACGTTTGTGCTACACTGTAGCCTATTAGGTATGTGATAGAATTATGTATAAAGAATACAATGTACATACTTAATTTAAAAAAGCTTTATTGCTAGAAGAAATGCTAACCGTCTTCTGAGCTTTCACTGGATTGTTTTGCTGGTGGAGGGTCTTGCCTCCGTGTTGACAGCTGCTGACTGAGCTGGGTGGTGGCTGCTGAAGGTGGGGGTTGGGGCAAGTTCTTTTTAAAGATTGTATTTATTTATTTGAGGGGGGAGGGGCAGAGGGAGAGGGAGAGAATCTCAAGCGGACTCCCCACTGATCGCAGAGCCGACGTGGGGCTCGATCCGGGCTCGATCTCACGACCCTGAGCCGAAACCCAGAGTCAGATGCTTAACCGACTGCACCACCCAGGGGACCCCTGGCAGCTTCTTAAAGTAAGACAGTGATGAAGTCTGAGGCATGGATTGACTTCCTTTCGTGAGGGAGTTCTCTGTAGTGGGTGATGCTGTCTGAACTCTCAAAACGAGTCAGGCCTCTGAAATCCTGCTGCTTGTTCAGCTCAGTTCGTGGAATATTCTAAAACCTTGTGCCCTCCCAACAGTCTTCACGGCATCTCCACCAGGAGTGACTCCACCTTCTCTGCTCGTCCAGAAGCAGCAACTGGCCCATTCAAGTTTCATGAGATTCCGGCAGTTTGGTCCCATCTGGTTCTGGTCATCTTGCTTTCCCGCCACGTCTGCGGTGACTTGACCCCCTCAGTCCGGAAGGCCTCACAGTCCTCCACGAGGGCTGGAACCCACCTCTTCCAAACTGCTGTTTGTCATTTTGTCCTCTTTCCGTGGGTCACGAATGTTCTTGATGGCGTCTAGGATGCGAACCCCTTGTAGAAGGCTTTCCGCTTCCTGTGCCCAGATCCTCCGCAAATCACTATCTAGCTCAGCCATAGCCTTGCAAAGTGTATTTCTTAAAGAACAAGACTCAAAAGTCAAGATGACGCCACGCACAGGCTGCAGGTGTGAGAACACACCAATCTTGTCCATCTCCATCAGAGCTCCGGGTGACGCGCTGCGGTGTCAGTGAGCAGTCATATCTTCAGAGGGTCCTTTTCCCTAAGCAGCAGGCCTCAACAGCAAAAATCCAGTAGACCATGTTGAAAACGAATGCGCGGCCATCCAGGCTCTGCGGTTCCACTGACAGAGCAAGGAGGGGTAGGTGGAGCATGGTTCTCAGCGGCCCTGGGATGTTCAGACTGGTCCCTGAGCATCGGTTCAGCTTCAAGTCAGCAGCTGCCTGAACCCCCACAATACAGTCCATCTGTCCCCCGAAGCCGTGAGGCCAGGCACTGCCTTCTCCTCTCCAGCTTATGGGGGTCCTCGCTGGCGTCTCCTTCTGATGTAAGGCGGTTTCATCCGCACTGGAAACCTGTGTTGTTTCGAGGAGCCACCTTCATGAGTGATCACAGCTGGGTCTTCTGGACAACGTGCTGCTTCACCTGGCACTTCTGTGTCATACAGTGTCTTTCAGGAACCGCCTCGGCCAACTCCAGACTTGTCTTCTGCAGCTTCGTCCCCTCTCTCCACCTTCGCGGAACCGAAGAGCGTGAGGGCCTTGCTCTGGGTTAGGCTTCGGCTTAAGGGAACTCTGTGGCTGTTGGAGCTTCTGTCCAGACCACGCAAACTTTCTCCGTGTCGGCAATACGCCTGTTTCCCATTCTTGTCATTCCTGTGTTCGCGGCATGGCCCTTTAATTTCCTTCGAGAACGTTTCCTTTGCAGTCATCACTTGGCTAAATGGTGCAAGAGGCCGCGCTTTTGGCCTATTTTGGCTTTTGGCGTGCCTTCCTCACTACACGTGAGCATTTCTAGATTTGATTTAAAGTGAGACACAGGTGACTCTTCCCCTTCGCTTGAACACTGAGAGGCGACTGTCGGGGTATTAAGCGGCCTAATTTTAATATTGGTGTGTCTCAAGGGGAGAGGCCTGGGTGGCTGGTGGTTGGAACAGAACACACTCAACATTTATCAGTAAGTCCCTATCTCCCACAGGTACTGTTCATGGTGCCCCTAGACAGTGACAGTAGTAACATCAAAGGTCACTCCCCACCACAACAAATACAAGGAAAACGTGTGAAATATTGGGGGATTATCAAACTGTGCCACAGAGACCCAGAGTGGGAAGAGCTGTTGGAACAGCGGAGTCGGGAGATGGACGTGCTGGGCCCAGGGTGGCCGCAGACCTTCCCTTTGTAAGAAAGGCAGTGGGGTGAGCACGGGGTCTGCTTCTCCTTTGCCTTCGTGGCTCTTTCCACATCGCGTGCTTAGAGGTTTATTTCCCTGCAGGTCCATGGGAGCTCCATGCAGGCAGGAGTCCACGCACACATGGTCCATTCCCCATGGGCCCAAAGCCTTCCTGATGGGAAGACCTCAGAGCGCCGTGTGTGAAGTACAAGCATGCGCCAGGAAGGCCACTCCCTCCCTTTCTGAGTTCTTTCTCCTGAAACAGACACCCCCCTTTCTGGTGGCTACAGCTCTGGGGGAGGCCCGTGTCCCAGGACGAAGTGGGCTCTTGGAGACGGTAACCCACAGAAGTATTGTCAGTAGCTTGGGGTTTGGACGCTTGAGTGACTCAGGCGGTGAAGCATCTGCCTTCGGCTCGGGTCATGATCTCAGGGTCCTGGGATCGAGCCCCACATCGGGCTCCCTGCTCGGCGGGAAGCCTGCTTCTCCCTCTGCCGCTCCCCCTGCTTGTGCGCGTGCTCTCTCTCAAATTAATTTTAAAAGATGGAGCTTGGGTTTTGCTGTTAAAAGGTAGCCTGGGTGGCTCAGTTGGTTAAGCGACTGCCTTCGGCTCAGGTCATGATCCTGGAGTCCCGGGATCGAGTCGCGCATCGGGCTCCCTGCTCAGCAGGGAGTCTGCTTCTCCCTCTGACCCTCCCCCCTCTCATGTGCTCTCTCTCTCTCTCATTCTCACTCTCTCAAAATAAATAATAAATAAATCTTAAAAAAAACCCCCCAAAAGATAGCAATGGTGATTTTAATATGAGTCCTTGGGGCTGGCTTGCTGGCAACACGGTCCACGCTGGGGTTACGCAGAGTGGTTAGATTCAGGGGCTTCGGCATGGCCGGTCCGTGGGCTCCTCAAGGGCAGGCACTACCTTATTCCTGCTCTGTGTTGTTGCTGCCCAGCACAGAGCCAGGCACCCAGCAGGTGTGCACCCACCATCTGCTGTGATGAAATCCACAAATTCCGTCTTGTGAGCACAGCCATACTGAGCACTTTATGCACATTGTGTCCACTGATCTTTTTATAACCCCATGAGGTTGGTATTCTTGTCCCCGTTGTACAGAAGGGGAAATTGAGGCTCACAGAGAGGAAATCTGCCCAACGTCACACACACCCAGACAGAGGCAGGGAAGCAGAAGTCCCTTGGGATATTGAAACAATGGCCGGGAGCTATAACTATTTTGGGGGCCGACAAATCAGCATCCTCTCCTTGGAGGACGCCTGTGCCCGCCTTTCAGAGCCCGGACTCTGTTATCTCTGGCTGCCTGCTTCCCCGGGCGCCGGCCCATCTGCTCCTGCACCACCCTGGCCTCCCCTTCACACTCCAGCTTCCGTCCTGGCCTCTCTCATGGCTGCCCACCCTCTAAGGCAGGGTCCCCCAGCGTCACCCTGGAGCTCTCTTCCTCCCTCTACACCCCCTCTCTGGGCCAGCCCGTCAACCCCTGGCCTCTCCAGTGTGCATGTCCTGCTCAGAGCCCTCCCGGCAGGCCTGGGCCCACCAGCTCCTGCTGACTGCTGCTGGTTACTCCTCCCAGAATGCAGTTCCCGCTCTGAGACCTTCCGTGGCTCCCGGGGCCCGTCCGGGAAGAAGCAAAGACTTCCCCAGTTCAGAGCCTTCCTCCACCACCGCACTGTGCTCTCCGCCTTTGTTCTGCCACCCTGTCAGCACGCCCCCCTCCCCCTCTGCCCAAGACAGAGTCCCTTCTGGTGCATGGCCCGTACCTTCCTCCACAAAGTTCCTCCTGACCCCCCCTCCCAGCACATTACTTAGAGGACAGGTTTAAATATGGCGATGGAGAAAAGAGTCGGCTTCAGTGTGTCCAGAAGTAACTCCATGCTCTGAAGAGAGGCTGCGGGGGCGGGGCGGGCGGGGGCTCGGGAGGCGCAGGCCCTCACTAATGGCCAGTGTAGACGCAGTCACACCAGCTTGTCTGCCGGCGGGCACTGAACTTAGAGTCCACCCTCCCACAACCGCCTGGAGACAGAGGCCCTAGCTTCAGGTGTCCGGACGGAACAAACAGTAACCAGGTCGGGCAACCTTGAGTTTCCCACGCAGGCGCTTCCGGGGGTGGGGGTGGGGCAGGGGGAGTCATCCCAGGGATGCAGCCTTGAGCTGTTGGAAATCACACGGGTGTTTATTCAAGTGTTACAGGCCAAGGTGAAGGCCAAGTTAAGAAGAGGGTTCAGAAGAGCCTGGGGAGAGTTTCAGGAAGGAGAGCTCTTTGCCAGGTTTTTAGCTTAGACAAAAACAGAAAGACAAAAACAAATACATCAGTGTGTGGAGACACGCCAGGTGCTTCACACGGTTATGAAGTAGATGCTACTGTTATCCCCATTAAAGAGTCAAGGAATTTGAGGCTCAGGAAGGCTAGTCACCTGCCCAGGGTCACACAGCCAGAAGTGACAATGCTGGGATGTGAACCCAGGTCTCCCGGTTCCTGAGTTCTTTGCCCTATTCTGTGCTGTAGGCTCTGGCCACCCACATATGCCCGTCGCACGGCGTCACTGGTCCGGGGCACTGAGTCAGGTAGGCGTGCCTTGCTGGACAGCGGTTCTCAGCCCTGGCTGCACACTGGACTCACCCGAGGAGCTTTACAAACACTGATGCTTGGGTTCCACCCCAGAAGTTCTGAAGGCATTGGTCTGCAGTGCAGCCCAGACACAGGGATCCCTATGAGCTGCCGGCAGCCTGCACGGTTATCATCCCATCTGATCTCGAGGGAACCCTGAGAGGCAGGCGTGCAGGTGGCAATGACCATGTCCTGCTGATGAGCAAACAAGCTCAGGCTAAAACTCGGGCGCTCCTAACACCTGGCTACAGAATCTTGCTTCCTGACCTCCAGCTCTGCGTTCTCTGCCCACAGGTTACTGCTCTAGAGCAGCCTGATGGACGGGGAAAAGCAGTGCCTCCCAAACCAGGAATGAGCAGTTGAATTTTGCTTGGATGTTAAAAGTCACTTCACTCTGCCAACAGAACTGGAAGAGGGCATGGAGCCTGCCTCAGCCACAGGACCCCAAACAAGACCAGGGGATCCCCGAAGAGAGCAGGGGCCTCCCCTCCCCGACAGCGTCCAAGGCCCGGCTGGAGCTGGGAGCTTGCAGTTCACTGATAGCACTCCTTCTACGCCCCTTTCTGCCGCGGTGCGGGAGGAGGGGCCCACAGCCCAGGCAGGTTAGAGACCTGTGACTGTAGCCTCCCAGGCAGGGACCGGGGCCCAGGGCCACCGAGCCCAGCTCCAGAGCCAACCCCCACCCTCAATGTGCACAATGCGGGGCCCACCAGCCGGGTCCAGCCTTAGTGGTTCCAAAAGTTTCCCACCTGCAGGACACGAGGGGCCACTGCCCACTCTTGGAGACCTGGACACGGGGCTACTCACCCCTGAAGGGCGTCACTCACTGCCCACATGCGCCGGACGTCACTGCTTACCCTTGGGGGACTTGAGGGGATCCCAGGTGTGCGCAGTGGGGAGGCCGCGGTGCACAGCTGGGGCGGGCAGAGCACCACAGCACAAATCTGGAAGGGCTTACGCTCGCCCCAGCCTTGAAGATGCCCCGGGGAACGCCAGCAGCTGCAGGGGCCCGGGAACCGCGGTCCCACCACAGCTGAGGACCCCCGCCCACCCTAAACCCCTCAAGGGTGCAGCCATGCGCCGCAGGCCTCCGCATGCCCCCCCTCCCCCGCGCCCCGGGCCGTGATCGCACAGAAGGCGGCCACACCCCCCGGGCGCGGCCCGGCGCCCAGCGCCGGACGCTGCTCGCCCAGCCCCACCCCTTCGGGCAGGGTTCGCGTCCAAGCGACCCCTCGGGCCAGCCGGTCCTCGGGCCAGCGGACCCACGGAAGGGCAAGCAGGCGGCCCCTGGGCGGCGGGACGGTCGTCGGAGGGCGGCGCCCACGCCGAAGCCCCCTTCCCAGGCCCCCGACATGGCCCGGGGTGGCGGTCAGAGCTGGAGCTCCGGGGAGTCCGACGGGCCGCCGGAGGAGCGGGCGGCCGAGAAGACCGGGTGAGCCGGCGGGGTCCTGCCAGGCCCGGCGTCGGGGGCGGGGGGCGTCGGGGGGCCGGGCGAGCCGGGGGCGGGGACTGAGGACTAGGGGACTCGGCCATCCGGGGTCCCGGGTCGGGGCCAGGCAAGTCGGGGTTTGGGGTCCGGGGTCGGGGGCCGGGCGAGCCGGCCGTCGGGGGTCGGGCTCCGGGGTCCGGGGCCAGGCGA